ATATCTGTCGCAGAAAAATATTATAATTATATTTCAAGGTAAGCTGTTAGTAAATATAAAAATATGAAACATATTGATATTGTTTAAAAACGGAACAAATTTTTTTTCATATTTTTTGTTGGACATTTAAGAGAATAATTCTGACAATCATGGCCTTAGTAAAGCAATGTATAAAAGAAAAATTGTCGATAGAGACTTGTCAATTCTGACACTTCATCTTTCTCTGTCTTACTTGTGTATATATGAAACAAAGACTGATGATCTGGTTCGCGCCTGCAAGGCGTCGAATGGTAGATGGTTTTTTGATTTGATTGTCAGCACATAGATGCAGAGATCTCAAAATAACTCACCGATAATAGAAAAAATAGAAGTTAAGATGTCGATAAAAATAACAAGTACAAATAATCTTCCTTATTTCTTCAAAGTTTTCTTTTTCTTTGATGATTGTTCGTGTCAATAGTTATACTAGAGCAAAAAGTCATATCCAAAAAAAGACATAAATTTATAGATGAAGATCTTTCTTGTCTGATTGTAAATGTTCTTTTTATCTGTTGGGAAGAGTAGTAATCGATTTCTTATTCTTTATGTTGACATTTGGTTAAATTACGTGATCTAGATCGACTAAAGAGATCGGAAAAAAAATAAATTTCCTTGCAAAATGCATCTATTTTCTTGTCTTCATCGATCAAGTGCATTTACATCAAACGATTAAATAGAATAGCAAATATGTGCGAATAATCCAAGCTATTTCCTCATGCTCAGTTTTTTTTTATTAATAAAATGCATACACTTATCTTTTTCTTTGTCGTCATATTACTCCATCATCATCAGTTTTACTTTTGTATGATTTTTTGACATAAGGAATTATTGTTTGTCCAATTCTAGTTGACTTATCTATAAATATAGTTATATCAATTGCTAATTTTTAGTGTTTTCTTGCCTACGACATGTAGATGAATGTCATAATCTAAGAATATTTATATTACTCATGCATATAGTCTATTTAGATATAGGAAAAAGAAAATAATCTCTGACTAACTAGTGAAAATTTGCTGAAAAATTTTTTAAGATATATTTAATATTTTAGATTGTGCTGTTGCTGTTGATCGGTGCTTTGCATGTCAGGTCACACGTCAGCTATATGTATGAAGACATAAAATTTTGCTTGCTACGTGTCAATCTGACGGGTCAAAGCGTCATCATCGATGTGCTTTTCGTACAAGCATATTGTGGAAATTTCTTGATAGTTGTTGACGTTTATCGCATGGCCGATGCCGATAATCGGGTTATTCTTAATGTTGGCGGTATTCGCCATGAAACTTGTATGTATAAAAAAACAGAACCATAAAAAGAAGAACTGTTTTTTTTCCATCAACTAATTATTTATTTATTTACTTTTTGTTTATAGACAAGGCAACATTAAAAAAAATTCCAGCTACAAGACTTTCTCGTCTTACTGAAGCTCTATCAAATTATGATTCTGTCCTTAATGAATTCTATTTTGATCGACATCCAGGTGTATTTGCACAAATACTAAATTATTATCGTACTGGTAAATTACATTATCCAACTGATGTATGTGGTCCTTTATTTGAAACTGAACTTGAATATTGGGGTCTTGATGCTAATCAAGTTGAACCTTGTTGTTGGATGACATATACAACTCATAGGTATACACATATATAAACTTTTTAAACATTAATTTAATAAAAAAAAATATATATATATATATATTATTGTTTTTTAATAATAGAGATACACAAGATGTACTTGTTGGTTTGGATCGTTTAGATCTTGATGCTGAACCAATAACTGAAGAAGAAATTCCACGTAAATTTGGCTGGGATTATGACCCAACAATACGTCATAAAAATATGACTGTACAAGAATACATGAAAACATTACCATGGTTTAAACGTATACAACCACGTATATGGCAATTATTTGAAGAACCCTATTCCAGTAGTGCAGCTAAAGTATATTTTAGAATTTCTTTTTTTTTTCATTAGTTTTATTTTATGATTATTATCTTAGGCTATACAAGTTGTTTCAATATTTTTTATACTTGTTTCAATTATATCATTTTGTTTAAAAACTCATCCAACAATGCGTGTACCAACAATAACATTAATTGAAAATAATTTTACAAATATAACACCAACATATACATTACATAAAGAAAAAACCGAAGCACATGAAGCATTTCAATATATTGAAATAGCGTGCAATGGTAATAACAAAAAAAATCAAAAACATCTAATCAAAAAAAAACTATTTTATTTTTGATATTTCCTTTTTCTTTTAGTATGGTTTACATTTGAAATTATAATACGTTTTATAGTTTCACCAAAAAAATTTGATTTTGTTAAATCACCTGTAAATATAATAGATTTTTTAGCAACATTATCATTTTATTTAGATATGTTATTTAATAAAGTATTACCAGCATCATTAACAAATACAGATTTATTTGAATTTTTTTCTATAACACGTATATTTCGTTTATTTAAATTAACACGTCATTATGGTGGTTTAAAAATTCTTATACATACATTTACAGCATCAATGCGTGAATTAATGTTACTTATATTTTTTCTTGTTCTATTTATTGTCATATTTGCTTCGTTAATTTATTATGCTGAACGTTTACAAAAAAATCCTGATAATGATTTTACATCAATACCAATTGGTCTTTGGTGGTCTATTGTAACAATGACAACTGTTGGTTATGGTGATATGGTACCAAAAACTTATGTTGGAATGATGGTTGGTGGTTTATGTGCATTAACAGGTGTATTAACTATTGCTTTACCAGTACCTGTTATTGTTGCTAATTTTGCTATGTATTATTCACACACACAAGCCCGTTCAAAACTACCGAAAAAACGACGAAGAGTAATGGCTGTTGAACCAGTTAGACCAGCAAGAGGACCAGGAGGTGCTGGTGGTCCAGGTGGAGGTGGAGGAGGAGCTATGAATAAATTTGGTATAGATGCTGGAATGAGAACTGGACTAGGTGCACTACCGCCTGGTGCTGGTGGTATTAGTGGTCTTAAAAAGAATGTTATTAAACAAAGTAGTAGTAGTTTGGCTGCTAAATTTGGTGCAACTGAAAATAATATTGTACACAACCGTATTGGTAAGATGACAGCATACTTAATATATACAGATTTTTGACATAAGACATACTTTGGATATTGAGTTTCAGTTACTAATCTCTTCTATTTAGTTACCAATAATTTTCAAACATTCCTCGAAGGTATATCAATGTTTTCATTTTCTCCTCTCTCGTCTAATACATAGTATATCCTACATATAATATACATATATATACATATACATATCTGTCTTCTTTATCTTTTCTTCACTGAAAATGAATTATAGACATCTGTCAATGTTTACTTCTTCTTTGCTGTGCTATAATGATATTATTATTTAGAAAAAAAATCAATCTTTCTTCTTTTCATTTACTAGAAAGCCAAATATAATCAGTTTTATTTTTCAATCTAGTCAATGTTTCATTCATTCACATAGGACATGGTGATGAAGAACGTATACCAATGATTCAATCGAGTCCGAGGATGAGTAGTCATCATCATCATGTGGCCAAAGTTTAAATAAAAATAAAATAAAAATAAAAAAATAATTTCTGTGATATTAAATCACTTAAGCATATGTAGGTAAAATACTAAATTGCATTTGTTGCTCGTTTCAATTCCGTTTCGTTCAAATAATTTATCAAGCACTTATGTTGTTCTTTTTTATTTTTATTTTCTACACATGCACGAATTATTATTTTTTTTGCATATATGTTTGATTCTAATGATTGAGTGCCGAGATGCATAACAGAAAAAATTTTATGTATGATTTTTCTTTTCTATAAACCAATGCATCTCTTTAGAAAACCATCCACTGTAATGATTGAAATGAGAACTTGTAAGTTTTAGTATATCCTTTCTTAGTTTTGCTCTTTCTATCTCCTTTATTAATTATTATTTTATTCTTCGTTATGCATAAATAATATTATTTTCTTCTTGCATGCTAAAATTATTTAGCAAATTATTTTAGTTTTCATACATATTTGTTGTAGTGATTTGTCTGTGTTTTTATTTTGATGAATATTATTTACATATCTATGAATATCATTGTTAAAAATCTTTGACATATTGTTTTTCTTTTATAGAAGAAATGGAAATGAAAATTAGAAGTGACAATACGTCTCCAATAAATAATAGCACAAGTACAATAGATAATCAACATGATGATCATCAAAATGGACGACGTTCATCTTTTCGTACACAATCATCGCGTACAGTTCTTACTGAAGTTGTTTCTTAAAAACTTTCTTTTGTTATTTATTTATTGGTGATGTTACTAGTCAAAAATGTCCCTTATGTCAACGTTTGATGAGACACAAACATGTGAATGCCGTCCTATACAGCTTCTTTTTTCTCTTGTCTCTCTTTCTTTCTCTCTTTATCGAGTTTCTTTTTATATTGTTGCCAATTGTGATTAATTCTTCTTTTTCCTTGGTCTTGTTCTCAAAACACTTGTTTTCATTTCATACCACGTTTGTTCTGAGAGCAGTCATGAGAAATAAACGAAAGAAAAAAGAATTATGATGAGAAACAAACTGAATATATATATATATATATATGTAGATATATATATACAAGAAACTCGTTCGATCGTTCGAGTAACCGCTAGAGAGCGGACACCAAATTCAATTTGGTCTATCGCATGTATGGAACAATCAGACAACGACGAAGGAATACTAATAGAAGAAGATGAATAAGAGAAAAAAAAGGGATGAAAAAACGATTTCCCTAATGAATTTCATAGAAGAAATAAAAAAAGAAACGTGACCTCGACAGTAGAACCTGTCCGGGAATTCATTTATAAATATATAGCAAAGAGAAAAGAAGAAACAATCAAATAAATTGTGAATAAAGCAAAAAAAGAAGTTTTTGACAATAGAGAATAAGTCAATGATCATACATTCATATTCGTAATTCTTTGCCAAAATTTGCATCAATACGACGAATATATTCTTCACACCATATACGTAATGATTGCTTAATTAAATAAAAAGTAAAATATATTATTGATGTCTATAGAAAAATAACTTACTTCACATGTATTAACAATCGAGTTTATTTCAGAATGTTGAATAATTGTTTCAATATCTATATCAGTATATAATGAAAGTTGCCATTCATGTGGTAAAGGCTATTGATAAAGAGAAAAAAATCAATGGTTTTGTTTATTTTCGGATTTTTTTTTCGTATTACATACAAGTATATGAGACTTTGATCCGACTGTTCGTCTACCAATATAAAGCATAACAGATGCTAGTACTTTAAGATTAATTGATTGATTTGATGTTAAATGACCCAGAATTAATCGATATTTAACTGGCTTCAATAGTAACTTAAGAGAAAAGAAAAATAAATTGAGATATAATTTCTTTTTTTGTTTTTGTTTTCATATTTATTTTATTTACTGTTGTAATAAGTGCTCGAAATAAAAAAATACCAATAAGTAAAAGTTTTGCTCGTTGTTTAGTTATATTTATAACTTTTAAATGGTCAAATTCAAGAAGTTCCTTTAATAAAGAAAATTATACAAGAAAACAAATGATTAATCGAAACCAACAAACAAAACATACGCGTTCACATCGCCAAAAATAATTTTCTGGAAATGGATTTCCATCTTGAATAAGAGCTGATACAGCTGAATTTTTTTCTGTACCAAGAACACCATCTTTAGGCTAAAACAATATCAAAATTTCAATTCATTCTTTTGTTTTTTTTTGTATTTCTTTATAAAGAAAATTTTCATGTATATTTATTCATACGATTAATAAAACAATATTCAATTAAATATGGACATCCATGAAACTCACAATAGCAATCAGAAGTCTAAACACGTTTTTATCTTTTTATAAATCTGACCTGCTTATGATGAACTCCTTGAACCTGCTGATGCTTGTCGCAGCCTGTTTACTTTCTCTATATACTGATATTATGATAATAATTAAATGGTAGTAGAAGACTATTGATGACAAAGCGATGATATCATACATATCAAAATAGTATTTCTATACAAATTATCTATTCATTTAATACTATAGATTAGTGTTGAGAAAAGATAAAAAAAAGAAAAGATTAACCATTTGGAAAAAAACATTTTGTTTGTTGAGTTAGAATATTTTCAATACATTTAATGACCTAGTTGAAAAGGACATATCAAGTTTTGTTCTATTACGAAAATACAATTATGTATCAGAAAACAAAAAACAATTCATGTTAAATAATAATAATATAAATCGACAAGAGAATACGAACAGTAATTTACTGAAATAAAATATATTAACATGAACAATGTAGTCACGAACTATTACTCAGACTAATCGTATTGAGTCAAAATGACAAAGAAACTGATTTTTCAGCTTTGAGCGATAAAAACTAAACACTATCTATTTTGATATAGAGATTTCTTTATGAAAGAATGAAGTTTCTTTTTTAGTAAAGATTTCGGGAAAAAAATGGCAGACAGACGGCCTGTTTTGCAACAAACTCGAAAAATAGAGCCTCTGCCTCTCCCAAACATACAGATAAACATAGCCTGTTCGGACTTCCATGTTGATAAGCTGATTACTTCGTAATTTGAAATGATTTATCGTTAAGACTAAACTGTACTTACAAGTGAATCAATCGTTTATTAAAGAAAAAATTAATTCGAGCAGGTTTTCTTTTTTATTCAAATGAAATAGTTTATTGTTTTATTTTCATTTTCTTTATCAATTAAAATAACTTAACCGCATAAGTCGATATGTTGTTTTGAGGAACAATATCAAGAGATACTTTATGACAAATAAATGAGTCGTCTAAATTACACATAACATGATTTTGTCTGATACTCGAAATACAAATGATTCAAAATTTGACTGAACCTTTAGATATCATGTTCTTCTGTTTTTCTTTCTCAAAACATTATAAAACAATCATTGTTTAAAATGATTGTTTGACATAATAAAATGAATTTTTTATTTACATAAACGATCAGCTTTTTCTACGGACGATTTTCAATACTATTTTTTGAATGATGAATATAAGCTTTTTTGTTAGGGACGGTATTCATGCTCGGAAATTACTTTTTTGAAGCTGATTAGAAAGCTGTTAGCGCAATCTCGGCGGAATTAAAATGTCAAAAACGATATACGTCGATATTGTTGCTAAACACAAACAGATAGTTTTATTCTATCTATTTTGAGACACACATTTCTTCAACATTCATTTACTTAATCCTCTAGAAATGTAATAAGGAAGTTGTTAATATATCATAATGAGACGTTATGAATAATCAGACTTTAATTGTAAATTAACAATACCTGTCCCGGTCTAATGGAAAGGTTCAAATGTTTATTCTATATATTTGAACACTCCTTTTAAGATCCTTTTTTATGAAATAGCATATCCTCATTTTTGCGTACAAAAATTGGAAGCATATGGTGATCATTTCTACCGTACATTTTCTATAGCTCCTTCAGATTTTTTTTTATATATATGATAGTAAGTGTCTCATTGCTTTTATCAATACAATTTTTGAGATCATAATCAAAATACTATTTGTCATACCAATGCTTTATCCAGTGTGAGCATTGAAGTAGAAGTTTTATTTGAAAGATCGGCTTGATTCTTCCAGAATTTGAAGTTGTTATACTATAGACTATGTGCCTCTGATTTCAAAAACAGGTGTCTACTCTTTCGGAAGAGAAAATTTGAATAAAATTTTCTTCATATGTCAAAATATATAGTGTTTTCAGCTATACAAAACTGTCATCGTTCTCTGCTAAACAAGTTTTACCTTGTCGGCATCAAGGTTAAAATATTAATATCTACTTAGTCATTCAACTATGATTGCCTATTCTCTATTGACGCTTATTGATTTTTGTAAAAACTGTGCTCGTCAAAGCCTATGCTAAAAGTAAATTAATTAGTATCCATAAATAGAGAATTTTATCGTCCATGCTCCAACGATCTTTTCAAGACTCTAGAGACTAGTATTTTCGAAATAAAATATGTATTGAAAGATGTCGAGTTTTTGTGGAAATAGTTGAATTTTTAGCAGAAACTTGATTATAAAATTGTCATCAGTATTTCATTTTAAGAAATTTCTATGAAAAACAAAGTCGACAACTTCATAGAACTTAAAATTCTCTATTTTTAGGCATAAAGATATGTTAACTATCATTGATTTCATTTATTTCTAGTTTCTCGTTTTAAATGTTTATTAGAACATTTTTTTTACCATAAATTCCGTTATTTTTGGAATAATAATTTGTAAAGTAATTCCAATAATTTGAATTGCTTCTGAATGATTTTTCGATGATCTATCTAATGCATTTTGTAATGAAATTGAATTATTTATTGTATGAATAAGTGCATTATGTATTGAACCATCAGGTTCAAGATAAACACGATGTAAAGCAACAATGATTTCTTGAAGACGAATTTTATGTATTAAAGCACTTGGTGATTGATGTGGACGATGCTTTAATTCCTTTTATGAATAAATAAGTATTGATTCTTTGTATTTTGCTGTTGTTAAACTTACTGTACGTTTTTTAACAGCTCGATGTTTAAGATTTATTATAAATAAAATTCCAATAGCAGTGCTTTTAAATAAATCTTTACGATATTTTGGTTTCGTTTTTTCTTGAATACTTGATTCTACTAAAAAATCATGATGATCTATGATTAGAAAAAAAAACATATGTTTAACTATTAAACCCTAGAAAAAAAAGAACATTTCTTCTCTACCATTGTGTGAATTCTTTCTGTAGCGACTACGTTGACGACTGGCTAAAGGCATTTCATTTTCAACATTAGATCGATCTGTTATCAAACATATTCATAATAAAAATTCAAAGAATACTTTTATACATACTATCTCTTGAAAAAGTTCTTGATCTCGTTTGATGAGTTTGTAGATGATGTTGTGAAATAGTCAGTGCATCTATAATTATATTACAACATGAATTAAAAAAAATGTAGAAACATGTTTGAATTTTAAGAGTTCTAGGAGTTCAGAGTCCACGAAAGTTGATCACTGCTAGGTGTTTCCGAGTAAGACTTCAAAATTTAGTTTAAGAGATAGGAGATAGGAGAAGAAGTGATAGTGATTTCAAATATAGCGAATGAAAGAGGAAACATTTCTTGATAAAATGTCAAGGAAACTCCGAAGTCGTCAGTATTAGAAGAAAGGATCGTTGACTCAAGGCTAGGAATGTGAGGAGGGAATAGCCCCGGCTTTAGTTCTATGTAAAAAAAATAGTAATATGACGTACGCTGTAAAGGAAATTTAAAAAAACGTTAATTTCCATCGTCAAAACTTGATTTTCCCATCTCTAAAATTTCGACCGATAAATCTTCCGGAAATTTTGAACTTATATTTGAAAACAATACAAAATCAATATTTTCAAATTTCTGCAAGCTTCTTTAAAAGACTGATAAATGAATGTACATTTTTTAAAATTAACTTTCGATCACCCGTTCAAAGGCGCTTGGCAAATTACTATAAAAATTGAGTTGATAGCTATCGATGAGTTTTACTATTTTAACCCGATTATTTCTATTAAGACTTGGCTTTTTTTCCAGAAAATAATGATTTTTTCTAAGTGACTTGAATGAAATTTTTCGGAGTCACGAATTCTTGAATAATGTTTTCGTCGATCGAAAAATTAATTAAAAATTTCCATTACTCAATCCAAAAAAAAATTGTCAAACAATTTTTTTCAGAGAAGTAATTTTTTTCTTAAAATAGCTTTGTATTAATCGAAAAAAGTCTAACCATCGAGAAGCTCATTAAAAATGTGACACTTTTATTTATTGTTCTTTTTTTTCACTGATCAGTGGGACACCGTTGAGAAACTTTATTTTTATACCATCCGACAGCATATTGACTTCGCTACGACATGCATCTGCTCTTATAGTTAGTGTGTATAGATAGTACTAGCGATTGATTACAAGTCTTCTGTCCAGAGTTACAGATAGTATCAATTGTAGAGAAAATATTGGACTGTTGAATCTGTCACTAAGCACCACTCCATATCACAAAGAAGTCTCCAAGCATAGATGTTCGTCCGTTAGAATATTCTACTTCTCACTTCGAGATATTTCTCTAATTTCTATTGTGTTTTCCAAATTCTACGAGAGCTACCGTTAAGTATTAGTGCTGAACAATACTGAGCTGCCCGAGGCTTCGAACTTGTACTTTCTTCTTTCTTTAAAAAAATCACCTGTTCCTGATGTAAGGAAAATATCACTTGGTAATTCAATTAAATGTTCGGATTGATCAGATAAGCCTACTGGTAATGTTCGTTGATCAATATGAGAATCGTGTTTAGTTTCATAAAAACTTGGCGTTAATGGAGTTCTTTGAAAAAGTCAAAACGGAAATTAAATAATCTATGAATCCTAAATGCGAACAATTACGGTAAATGACTAAAACGATTTGAATCATATCCTGGTGAAATCGGTGGTAATTTTGTATAAGAACTTGTATGAATTGAATCATCAATAGCTAACTGAATGTGAAAAAAAAAAATTAAAAAAGAAAAAAGCAAAAGATTTTATACATACACTATCCGGGTCAGGCTGAATTCTATTATAATAATCGATTCGTGACTGAAGTCTTTGACTAAAACTATTTGGATTTAATCGACTAATATCTTTAATTTATAAATGATCAAAAACAAAACAAATCAACAATAATTTGATATATGATCGCTAAAACAGACTATGTTCAATTTGATTTGTAATCGTTCTATTTGTATATAATAAATGATCATTTCGTTGTGAACTTCGATATGTTGTTCGACCAGTATTCAATGGTTCTAACATAGAGATAAAGAAAAAAAATTCTTTAACAAGAAATTCTAAATAATTTCATTATACCAATATAAGGACCATGATATCCATTAGTACGTCGTTGTCGATCAATAGCTGCCTGAAAATGAAATGTTTATATTTAAAATAATCAAAATTTTAAATACAAACATCAAGTCGACGATATGCTAAATGACGTCTTGCCATTGAATCAATTAAATCATCCATATTAGATGATGAATATACTTGTTTTTCTAGTAAAAAAATAAATAAAAAATTTTATTTCTAATATTTCATATATTCATTACAAACCATGTAGAGGTTGTAAATGTAAACGAGGATCATAAGAATAATTTGATATCATCAATGGTTGATTTGATCGATGATGCTTATTTAATGATTCCTTTTTGAAATAAAAAAAAATGTTTAAAAAAAATAAATTGTTAGTTTTTTGTAAGTTATTGTACATCTTACTTCTATTCGAAGTATTTCTAAGTCTCGTTCAATATCCGAATTATCTTTAAGACCATTGTCGATAGCTATTCGATCTAAACATAGAAATATTCGAAAAGAGAACTAAATTAGATAAGATAGCATGTATGTGAGATGAAATGAAAAACGTGTACAAGTGATTGTTTTTTTTTTCAAAATGTGATAGAAAAGACATTGTGCATATAGTGTGATTCAAATCTGACTACCTCGAGATAAATGACTCGACGATGATGAAGTTGCAACAGATAATATTGATAAAGATGTTTGTCTACTCAAAATTTTGGGTAAAACTTGTTGATGAACTAATATAGATGGTGGTCGCACATTATTTACATAATATTCCGTTGATGTCGGAGATGAAAGAGAAAATGTTTTTTCTGAAAAAAGGTTTTTTTTTAATAGAACAAGCATGATTTTCTTGTTTCTTTTGGAAATAAATTTATATATTTATTTACAGGCCTGAACAAATTTCTTCGATTCTTGAATATCAGTCATCCGTAATGGTTCAAGGTCTGAAAAATTTGTGTACACAAACTTCATCAACAAAGGTCGTCTGACTGATCCTAGGCCCGACCGAGTTTGGACTTGATATTTTATTGTTGACTAAGTCCGAAAATTTTCAACTTGAGGGATTCTTTGGTATTTCTAAATCCTCATTACCTACCAGAGCGTTATTGGTATCTTCTATCTTTCTAGTGTAACAATTGATGCTAAAACTTGCAGAAAGTAATGTGAAGATAGAAAGAAAGTTTCTCTAAAATTTTCAACTCAATTTATTGAATTATCACTGAGTTATAGGTCTTGAAATGGTACTAGATGGCTTCATTTTGCACATCGATGGTTAAACAAAAAATGAGCACATTTTTGAAGGCTCTGATGAACCTCCACGAGATTTGTATAAAAAATACAACAATAGACATCATTTACCGTAACTCGGTGTCTAGTCAAGCAAGCGATGTGCAATGGGTAGTACCATTGGCCTACATTGATGATGAAGTATGAGCACACAAGCTTTTAGATCTGTATCATCTTTATGATGACTAAAATGCGATATAGGCAAGACTTTTGTCCAGGGTTGTATTTATTAAATAAAATAAACAGTACATCTAGTGTTTTTTTCTGTTACATTTCATTGTTTATATAAATGAAATTACAATTCAAATTCATAAGACTAAGATATCAGATATTCTGACGAGTATGAACGTCAATGCGAATAAAAAACAACATATTCCATCTTCTCATACATAAAACATAATCGCAATTCAAAATAGCCAAAAAAATGTATCCATAGGCAAGTCATTTTTTTCCTTCATTTTTCAACAAACAGTTGCAATTTATAGTTAGATACAGACATACTAATTACAATCTACATACGAGATGTTGCTTTTTTTAGTTAAACAACTAAAGAGTGACTCGTAATGAATGCATTTTTTTTCTTTTCATAACTTAGTACGTTTTCTTCAAAAATAAAATATAATACAAGATGTAATATGAAGAGTTCTACAATATAACATTAAAAATCCTTTTTTTTTCGATATATATGCCTATTTACTTTAAAAATGACAAATTTCTGTGCAAGTAATTTTCACCCTCGAGAACATGATCATCTTTTTCATCTCATACATTTAAGATAAATCTATTCATCGATGAAAAATAATTTTCATTATTTAGGACATATTTATGCTGCAAAACGAACAAGGTATCATAAACCAAAATGTTCAGCATTTAAAAAAATATTATAGTATGTTAATATGCATCTTAAAATCGTATTACATTGTCAATTATATTTAGACCTGATGAAACATTAACACATAAAAATTGTATTGAAATTGTTCTCCCACATACCAACTATGAAGTCAAACGGCTTCTGGGTGACGACTTCATCTGTCAATAAAACAACAGCACTCTACATACATATCAGAGATCATTGACCTGATGTGAAGAAAATTTTATGTGTTTAATAAACAATAGCAAATAATAGACATCAAATAGTTCAGACTCAGGAATGTGATACCAATAGTAATTCGTTACAACATATTCACTACTCAGTTCGTTATTGTATTTCTGGAGGATTAAGTAAAAAAACGGTAAAAGAACGTATCTTAGAATATATAGAATAAAACAATCTCTGTGTGACTAGCAACAGCAGTTGCATTGTGTTTCACATATTAATCCTGAAAGAATTACACTTACAGCTTTTTGAAAGAGGCTAAAAATTTTCAAAAAATGGAGTGTTCGATCTCCACAAGACATATCTCTGTCTTGATCTCAATGAATTGGATTATTACGTGTAGGATGCTATCATCAATAATGCAATAGAGATGGGATCAGTTCTATTTGAACTTTTTAAAAGAGAAGCAATCGGAAAAAGAATTTGTCGTGTATTCAAAAATGAACTTGTTCGTTCCATCGAACAAAATTTTATCCGTTTAGTGGGTAATCGAGTGCATATATGAAATAAAAAGATTTTATTAGTATATTACTGAGCTTTTCATGCTACATCTTGTCATATATATTTTTTTTTTGATTAAAATGTACTAAGTGATGAAAAGAAAAAAAACCCGGATCATTCATTATGAGTAACTCGTTAAATGAAGAAAACTAGATGTACAGTTTATTTTTGTCAAGAAATATATCAAAGAAAAGAAACATACGTGTTCGTTTGATGTAGTCATCCGTACTACGACGTTGATGATTAAGTTCCTAAATATAGCAATGATTTCTAAAAAAAAGATATTTATATATTTATTCCTTACAGAATCGATTAAACGAAGACGAAGTTTATGAATATTATCTTCAACATTAGTCTCCATTCGTTGTGGTAGTAACTAAAAAATAAAAATAATTACACAGATGCAAATAATAATGTCAAGCTTGTAATGGATACGAAAAAAAAAATCAATTTCTTTTTCTTCTGTTTTTTTTTTGCATAACAAAAGCTCGTTAAAGAACGTGTTGTTTCTTTTGTTGAAGTTTTATGTTGTCGTCATAGACAATGAATGAAGTTCCTGTCACCATCAAAATATGATCTTTTTTTTATTTTTATTTTATTAAAAATAGAAGAAAAAAAAACAAAGATTTGATCATTTTTTTTTCGAAAGACTTACTGGAACATGAAATGGAAACCGTGCAAAAACAGGCACATGTTTTTTATCAAGAAGTCCATCAACATTATCATTCGTTGTTAGAAGAATCATGGATTCTTCTGACTGAAGAAAAACAAAACACATATATTTTTTATTTATTTATTTACTGTACATACCATAGTATTATTATTTTGCATAGAAGGATTATTTTCAGATGATGATGGTTGTTGATCATGATTTTGTAATTGATTTGATGATGAATTTATACTATGCAATGATTGTTCGAAACTGATACTACTTGCCATAAGACTATTAGCAGGATTATGTTGTTGATTATGTGAAACATTATTTTCAAGAAATGGAGCCGTTGTCTGAGTAGTTGGCCTATCATCGTTTTGTATCGGCGGTTGAATACGAATGGGACGTTGTAATGCAGGAATTCTTTGTGGTGGTGGAGATCGATGACGATGTGGACGTCTTACCTGCGCCATAGGTATCGTCTGAGAATATGTTGCTTATGAATGCAACATATAAGAGCAACCGTGAAATGTAGCTGAAGGGGAAGAAGCAATTTTACAAATTGTTTAAATCTTTTCAAATTGAAAAAAAAATAATACACAGAGACAAAAAATATAAAGACCAACAGCTAGAAACAAAACAAACTGAAAAGAAATCTCAACATTAAACGAAAATGAATAAAGCTAATAAGATCAAGTTCTTAAATGTTCATATCAATGGGTTTTTCTTTGTTAAATTTCAATAAAAAGATAAAAGAATTTTCTTTTCTTTTTAAACGTTCTCAATTTCAAGTGTAATATTAACCATTTTTTTAAAATTTACTGTTGCATAGCGTCATCTGTAAATACAAAATAAAAAGAACTTTGTTAGTTTCCATAGGAACTCTTGAGAAAATTAATAAAAGCATTATAGGATTTATTACTGAAACATTGATCATAAGAATATGTCTAATACAGAGATTAAAAGTCGTTTTCATATTTTACATGTTGAAGTTTCACATGGTAAAATTAAATTCAAGCAAAAAAGAAACAAAACCGATCGAAATAAAATTCATTTTTTTCTAACAGGTTCTGATCGATATGATATTCATCTTCATTTGGAACGACCACCTTTGGTTAAAGATCTTATGGAAGAAGTCGAAAAGAAAGCTCGAGTAACAACTGTGAATCAACAACTTATATTTCGTGGTAAAAGTTTTTTTTATTGAAAACAAAAACAAATGTATCTTTTTTTGATTTATAATCAAGGTCAACGTTTACATCAAAATCCAGATACAGAATTAGAAAAATTTGGTCTATTTAATGGAAATCATATTATGTTAATTGGAGAAAAAGTTTGTTGAAACTTTATTAAATAATAATTTATGTTTCTTTGTCTTTTTTAGTTACCAGATAAAGAAGATCGACATTTTCAACGTTTATTAAGTATTGAGAAAGATGTTAAACTTATTGATGATGTTCTTGAACTTGTTTGTCGTGATTTTGAAAATATAAAACAAGTAAGAAACAAAACTCTAATTTGATTTGATTTTATACAAAAAAGAAATCAATATTAGAGTCAACAACCACGAAATAAATGTGAACATTTTCTTCATGATTTACAAGGACGTACTGAACGTTGTCAAAATGATTTAAAAACTTTTCAAACGATTACAAATGATCTTAATGTTGACACAACAGAAGTTCATGCTTCAAGAAAAAAGAATGAAGTTGTTGCTCTTATTAAAGTAATATATTTTATTAATACAATGCATCATATTTCTTTTCTATAAAACATAATCTTAAAGTAATGTTGACATATAACGATAGAAAATTCAACATTGTATCTTCCTTCTTCATCATAGACCTTGATAGATGTCTTAGTAACGTCTCTTTACCTTGAAAGATATCTTATTATTGCCGTTCTCTCCTTCCGAATCATGACAAACATAGTCGAGAGATTGAAATCTTTTGCATGATTATTATGAATTTAAGATCGTTACTTTTTGCTCTTTTTCATACCGACTATAATATACTACGATTAACATATTTCATCATTGGGATAAATTTTTTCTTTAAACGTATTTTCAGACAAGACTGCATGAGGATGAGGACGCGGTGATTCAAGTGAAAATATTTCACAGTTGGTAGTAATTCACAAACTAGAACATATGTTAGTAAATTTACTTTTCTAACAATGTCAACAGTACTCCATCGTGTTTTTATTTTTTACTTGCGTAGACATCATGCTAATATTTGTTTGTTGTTTTTTTTTTTACATTTAGGATCGTATTGATATTTCATCGAATATTATCTCAGCTATTTCATCGTATCAAGATGGAAAGAATGATGAAAACAATCGTCCAGACAACAAATGACTTCATAGTTTTTTTGCTTATAAACTTAATTTGCTACTAATCAATATTTTTTTTCTGAAATATGAGTGAATTGTGAGATTTGTAACACAGTTTGCAATAAAATCAAAAATATTAATCGGTTAGACAGAAGTATGGCAACACATGGAAAACTTCAGACTTTAAGAATCATTTAGAATAAAAATAATATAACAATAGTTTTCGAAATTTGTGGCAAATGCTGTATAATCAATAACGAATCTTATGCGTCTGATATTTATGATTACTTGTAAGCTTGATTCATAATTAAAATATATAATTGAATCAGTCTTATGTTAACACTTTTTCAAGGTCTTTGAATGTGTATTGTAACGTTAATTATTGCCTTGATCGTAAGAAAAGGGTATTGAAATGGAAATTCATCTATATCTGTCTGTTTATAAAATAGTTACCATCCAGTAATAATGCTACACAGGATTGCAAAGGGTAACAAAGAAAAAACATCTATGCATTAGGATTCAAGTTAATCGAAATGTATTATTCAAGGACGAAGAAAACACGATTTATATACAACCATTTACAACGCAATACGGAGTAAAAGTTAAGTCGTCTACGAACTCCGTAAACCATCGTATTTCTTCGTATCATATACAAATCCAGAACAAATAAGCAAGATCGTAAACAGCCATGTTATATGAATTTTTTTCGCTGTTTGGTAAGCGCAGTATTATGATCGTATTTCATTATATTGTACAAGGTCAGATACTCGATTTTCAGACTGTGATCAACTGTGCACGACGTGATAAAATATGGTCGTAATACTGCGTCTACCAAACATCTTTATATAGCTATTTACGACTGCAAACTATATGAAACAACAGTATAGAGTATCGTTTTTGACCGCCTCGACGACTGTAATCATCGTTCTGGATACGATGATAATACTGAGTTATGGATCTTGCCCAAATACGATGATTTACAATTGTTTATAAGCGTGGTTGTTTGATCTGAGCTGCCATTAGGAGTAATGACTATTGTTATCAGATTATTGAATGACTCAATCGACTACTCAATGCTTGACACATAAGGATATAAGTTTATAATTAATAAGAGTCCGAAGATGAGTCTTAATATATGATTATGATTAACTAAAATCATGTCATTTGAATAACATTATATGAATATTTATTTTACATTGATTTCTATATTATCTTTATAAATAAATAAATGTATACATATATAAGTCAAGCATAGGCTTTAACTCAAATATAAGGTCAAAATATTTCTATAAATATCTCAATCAATAATATCCTACATATAAATTGAAATTCATTAGACAAATGTAACATGTTCAAAATCAAGTTTTATGTTACAAAAAAAGTTATTTCATGAAACAAATCATTACTATGTGTCAAGTACTTTAATTAATTAATGTTTATAATTTAAGTCAAAGCTAAGAACAAAAACAGAACAGGATAGAAAACGTTGTCCTGCATCTCATCTGTTTTATATATTTTCTTTTTCTTTGTATTATTTTACTTGTCAAGTACTTTTTCATTGTTTTATTTGTTTTATTAATAGTATCCATTGTATGTTAAGATCATGATGATAAAACTCCGTAAGTTCATATTTTTTTAAACTTTGTTTCCTGTGATGGATGTGTTATTAAAATAATAAATCAAGATGTTTCTATATTTTTCTTGTCTGTATAATATCAGTCATTATTGAAAACTTTAGGTGTTGCATTTGAAAATGATTCGAAAGACATTAGCTATAAGAGATCTAATAGATTAATATGTACTTTCGTTATCGAAAGTCAAAATAAGGATTCTTACTGTCCTATTCCCAGCTCTGATCTAAATGCATCTATATGTGTATCTTTATTCTGTCTGTTTACAGTCAATTCAATCAATTTTCAATGAACGCTACTTGTCTCACTAGGGTTTTTCAATTATATACTTCTTGTATGTGTGATAGTACAGTTAAAACCTAAATGAAAATGTGTCTTTTTAATACCTAGTTTGTTTGCATTGATTGAAATTTATATGTATACATTTCGGACATAAATTTAAAGCAGTATAATGTTTTGAGTTTTCTTCTCGATGGTAATAGCTAGAAAGAATCTAAAAACACATTTGTGTAGCTGAAAGAATTGTCAATTAGAAGAATTTGTAAGTCTGAAGACTTCAATAAAACTACTTATTTAAGAGTCTTCGGAAAACTAAGATTTACAAAACCAGATTTTTAGCTTCTATTCGAAAATTGTTAGAGAATTTTTGTTGGATAGAACAAATAATTCTGAACAAGATAAGACGTCGTCAATCTCTTCAGGATTTTCTTCAATTTACATAGACCGTAGAAGCATTTTTTTTCTTCTTTTTATTGAAAACTTCAATGCTTTTGCCGTGTTTGACGCTTCCTGACATTCTATAAATTGAAGGCAGTTAGATGAAGGACAGTCATGGAAAGATCGAAGACGTCTCATCTTGCTCAGAATCGTCTGCTCTATCAAATAAAACATTTTCTCAAAGCTTCCAATTAGAAGTCAGGAAGACGGTTTTGAGAAGGTCTTGGTTTTGTACAAATCTTCATCTAAGAAGTTTTGTTGAAGTCTTCAGATCTACTAATTCTGATAGAGAACTTTTTAGTTATACCAATGTTTTTTTTAGATTCCTAATAGGTATCATTATCGACAAGAAAAATCAAAAATATAACTGTTCTATACTTCTGTCTGCTAGTACATTTTTCGTTCACAATTTTTCTTTTTTTTTTGTATCAACAAGTGAAGAGAGACAAGGTCATGATGCGCATCATTGATTTACATTCATATCTCACAGTATATGACCGAACGAAAAGTATATGTATGATATATATCTTTTGCATTCACGGTTTTTATTGTGCATGTCAGTTTCTTCTCATTTTGTTTTTTTGTCTACGAAAAGACTGTTATTCTAAGTTTTGTTCATCATGGGTCTTATGTCAAGTAAAGAACAATTAATGATAACAGCTATTGAACATCAGGATATAGAAGCAATTAAAGTAATTATCAAAGATTCAACAATTGAACAAATGAATATGATATGTAAATTTGTTGTACCTAAAAGTGAGTATCAATATACAATACTTCATTTAGCGACATGGCAAGGTATGACAACATGATATTAATCAACAACGAAATAATGAAGTATTCAATTTTATTTATAGATAATCCTGAATTATTATCATTACTATTAGATTACACTGATGATTTAGAGATACGTGATGGCCTTGGCTGGACTCCATTAATGACAGCTATTAATCGTGATAGTAAAGAAAATGTTAAAATTTTATTAAAACGTGGTGCAAAAATTGATTGTGATTTTGCTCAAGGCATGGATCTTATTGCAATAGCTATGGCTTTTCATGATATTGGTATAAATAAAATTTTATATTAATCAATAATATTTTTGATTTTGTTTTTTTTTTATTAAATAGAACTCATTGAAATTCTTATGAATCATGGAGCTCAAGTTACATCTACATCTGACATGCCTGTTCATGATGAAAGTTCAATGGGATGTTATCTATTACATTTTGCTGCTGATGATGGTGAAATTGATATAGCTAAATTATTGATTGAAAAAGGCCAAATACCAATTAATACATTAGATCAAACAGGATGGAGTCCTCTTCATTTAGCTGCTGGACATAATTATATAGATATTGTAAAATTACTTTTAGAATATGGTGCTGATATTAATATCAAAGTATGATTAAATGAATTATTCTAACGAAAAAAAAAAACACAAATACTTTTTTATATTTTAGGATTATTATGGCAATACACCATTAGCATGGGCTAAAGAAATGAATGCTAAAGAAGCTATCGATGAACTTGAAGCACATGGTGGTATAGCAGATACAGAATGGCATGGAGATAAATTGAAGTTAAATGATTATCAAGAAAAAATCGAAGATGATCAACAAATGCATGAAATCGAAAATTGTCAATTTGAAATAGAAGAATCAAAATCAAACAAGACTTTGAAAGATAAAAGTCCACTTATACTTGATGCATTACAACGTCAACGTTAAACAGAAATATTTTTATCTAAATTGTACATGTTGTTATCTCTATTCGATGCGAAATGATCTAATAACTTCAAAAAACAGTTAATAAACATCAACTATGCCGCAACAAGTCTTTCGAAGATTTTTTCATAAAAAACAAACGTTCATTTATTATTCATTCCAGGCAACTGATATAAATTAGAAATTTTAAAAAGTACTCATATTATAAAATAAGAACGCCAACAAAAATTTTTATATAAATAAAAAATTTATGTTGGTTAATTCTTCTTGTAATATGTTAAAAATAAAACACCAGAGAATAAATATGAAATTTGTATTTTTAATGAAAAATTATAAATAGTTTAGTGAAATTTCTTTTTATACAGTAAATTTTTATTCATTATGTTTTTTTACAACATGCAGTACACATATTATCGAAATTAAGTAAAATCTCACGTGGACATGGAAGCGCATCCATTCCGGCTGGACCTGGTGAACCTGGTCGGCCAGGAAATCCTCGTTTTCCTGCTGGTCCTTCTTCACCCTAAAAATGAAATTTTACTATGAAAATATTTCTTAGAATCATTTACATACTTTTTCGCCTTTCTCTCCTCGTGAACCCTAGGAAAAAAAATAATAAATTTTTATTATTAGAAAAAAAACGAATGTAAAAGTCTAGCTTGAACACTTACTTGAATACCTGGTTCACCTTGATTACCCTATAATAAAGAAAGAAATACCATGAAATAATTTCAATAATAATTTCTTATGGTTAAAAAGGAGACCAGCGACGTCGTCTATGTCTTAAATAAATAAGTAGATATATGTCATAAGAATAGAATATAAAACGCATTCAGTGTAAAAACAAAACTAAGCAGAACTATATATTACAAAACGTTTTCTCGGTATTTCTTGAAATACACAAAAAACATTCACCATATATATATATTTTACATACTATAGAACTGGCATGTAAACCTCGTTCCCCTTTTCATGCTAAAACAACAGTAACTATTTCTCAAAATATAGTAGATGATATAGAAAATTTACCTTGGCACTAGTCGATTCAATAGCTGCTGTCTATCTCTAGAAATAAAATGAATATTCCTCTCAAGAAAAAGCTTTTTCTTTAGATTGATATTACATTAGGAATGTCTCAATTGATTATCTGTCTATTTAATCCTAATTAACCCGAAAGACTAATTCATTTCTAAAGAACAGTTATAAATACAAATAAATATTTTTTTTTAGCAACTTTGATTGTATTCTACGCCATAAAAAACTCGGTGAATTCATCTAGATGATTTGTTTAATTGAAATGTATTTTTCGAATATGTATTACTTCTCCTGCTATACTTTGATTATACCTGAAGAAAAAATATCATGTAATTTATATACAATAAAAATATTGATCTAGCTTTTAACACATTCATCAATATATCCTCACTTTTTGTTCAGACGATCATTGATAGTGTCACGTCCATATCGTTCGAGAAGTCCAGGACGTAATGGTAGTATTCCCTGCTTTCATAGTCCAAAGTGTTTGTTTTTTATTTAAACGTTAAAACGCTTGAGAAAAAATCAAATTAGCGAAAATTGTACAATTTTTTGTATTTTCCGCAAATCAACTTTTCACATGGAGAAAAAAGTGCCGAAACGATCTTATTTCTCCGATCTGTTTGTTTCAAATAATATTGTTCTATTCATGTTTGATAGCTCTATTCAAAACGCATGCGTTTTTAATGGTACTTTCAATGTTTTGACTTTTGTCGAAGGAAAAGAAATCAAAAGATATTCACTTTCAAACAGTGTCTAGTGCTTGTTAAAAAGTTTTCAGCTCAATCGAATATAGTTTCTCGAAGAAACGAGGATAAGTCTCCTTTTATCATTGTGATCCCATTATCTCATAGAAAATCGCATCCAGGAGCTTTGAGTCTAGATAACTTTTGTTCTGCTCGTCAGAATCTACCTGCGCGAAAAATTTCAAAATTTTCTGATGAGTCATTATTCAGAAAGCGAAACGACCCTTAAACGAAAAAACAACAACATATCAACAGGAGATTAAAACAATTGTTTTATCTAGTTTTTCGGTAAACTAAGAACACCGTGATCCCTTCTCATACAGATAAAACGACGCATTTTTGATGCTGTGATCGATCCTTAATCACCTTTTGTACCGTATATTTTAGAATAAATCATGGCAAAAATAAATAGTATCCCTTTTGATAGCATCAGGTGAACAATAACAAAAACGTGGAATTCACAATACGTATATATATATATATATAAATATATACTAAAGTGAAGGATATCAATTATAGGCAAATGGCAGTTGAATAGATTTATCATAAATATAGACTGAATGATGCTTCGTTTTCCTTTTAGTTTATCTTCTACTGATGCATGTTAATCTATAAATTTTCTTTTTTTTTGTTTGTTTACGTACCTTTTCACCAGGTAAACCCTAAAATCAAAATAACAATAAAGGATAGATAAAATATAAACAGACGAAAGGAACATACGTCTCGTCCGGGTAGTCCAGCTTTACTGAAACCATTATTTCCACCAAAACTCATATCACCTTTCTGTCCTGGTGGACCAGGTGGGCCCTGTGGGCCTGGTGGACCTTGAATGAATCTGTCTTGAGATGATGTCAACATTCCTCCTTGAACTGATCCTCCATCATGACCTGGTTCACCTTTTTCACCCTATACAAATTAGCAACTGTCCATAGACAATTATAGCTCCCGAAAAAGAAAAAAATTTATTTACTTTTATACCATTCCAAATTATCGAACCAGGATGACCTCGTTCTCCTTTTGGTCCCATTTCACCCTAAAAACAAAATTTCTTTCTACGACATCATTAATCTATTTTATCATACCGGAAACCCTGCAAAACCTCGATCACCCTAAGATAAAAATAAAAATTCTGTGCTATTCATTATATATGAAAACGAACTTTTTCGCCTTTTGGACCTATAAGACATTCATACAATTATTATTTTATCTCAATAAATCGGAATTTTTACCTGGAGGACATTGACAATTAGATGTTGTTGATTCTTGAAGATATCGTCGTTCACGTATGGCAGTCTAGAATAAAAAAAAAGTATTAGTTCTATTTATTTAATGCATATTCTGTTTTTTTTGCTAAACTAATCAAACATTGTATAGGATAAATGAATGAGATAAAGTTTTTATTAAAATAATAAAAAACAAAATCTAATTCAATGTCATTAATAATTATTTTCTTTTTGTCATGTTGTTTCGTATTATACGAACAGCAAGCTTGACATATAGGATGTTATATCACATAATGACAAATAAACAAAAAGTTAATGATATTTGTATAGATATTCACTCTAATCATCACATAATAATTGAGTGTCTATGCTTATTTATTTATTAATTATGAATTGAAGAATCAGAATATGTCATAATGGTAGTATCTCACTACTCTTTTTCATACAAATTGTATAACTTATATGTTTGCCGGTCTCCATCACTTTAGTTGATGAAAATAAGAGAATATGTAGGTATTTACAAAATGAATCTGGATGATCATTGTGATTTAATTTTATCGATAGAAAAAAAAACAAAAGGGAAACAAAATATTTTAGAAGAAACTATCAAAGTTATTGTTTTTCGGTGAAAATATAATTCTTACTGTATATGGCTTAACAATAGAATTACTATTATTAATCTTCGTTGAAGCTTTCGATGTTAACTGTCGTATAAAATGAAAAATTTTACTAAACCATTGTTCAATAGATGTTGGTTGATGAGAAAAAGATGGTATTGAAGATGAAGAAGGTAATAATTCTGTAAGAACATTTTCTATCTGTAATTGTCGCTCAGCTAATATTCGATATTGTTGTGTATTATATGCATTCCAACCAATTAAAACCAACATTAATAATACATATATTGTATGAGTAGAAAGATACATTGATAAAAACCATGTTTGAAAATTAACATAATGCGTTGTTTTGCTTCTATCGTTCAACATATCTAAAGAATTAATTTATAGATATTTGTAATTGTTCATTAATACAAAATCATAGGTAGTATAGTACATCAATACTCAGTAAAAGGTCACTAGATATCAAAATATCATATAAATGGCACTGAGAAATAAAGCACACAAATGCATGGATAGAATAATATCTGTAGAAGTTCTCTAGATAGATAGATTCGAGTTTGACGATAACACGTCAATATAGAAAATGCATATATATGTATAAAGAAACTACAATAAGAAAGAAAAAGATAGAAGACAAGAGCAAAGAATATTGTTAAAACCAAGAGAGACAGAAAGAGAAGAAAAGTACATAGTTTACTTTTTTCCTCTAGCAGAAAAACAGAAATTCTTCAATTATAACTGAACCAACAAAAATACCAATGAATCTTTAAATGATAATTTTATATTTAAACACATATATTTGAAAAAACCGGAAGTCTTCCGAGTTTTGAAAAATTCACAAAAAAAAACATGCATCCCTTCCTCCCTCTCCTTTTCAATTCTGACAACCTTGGTGTACTTCTGAATCTCACTATCAATTTTATATACATATCAAACAAAAGAATCAACAATCATGTGTTAACAAACTATGAAAGAGACATTGTTGTGAACATAAGCTAAAAGAACACGCAACAATGCTTGTCATTCAATTATTACTGTTTGTAGTATGTGTATGTCTTAGGGCAGAACATATTCGAGGCAATTATCTGATGACCTTTGTTCAAGCTGAATTCCATTCGAATAACAATTGTTGTTATTATTATTATTAAGAGAAATCTTATTTAGTTTGCTTCATTCCGTGATAATTAACATTAACCATGAACTTGATGTTTTCATTGACTAATATTTTTTTTTTCTATTGGGTTTTTCGAATAGTTTTATTAAATAAAATAAATATAGAATGAAATGATCAAACTCAAATGTACTTTTTTCTTTTGATTTTGAATTGATTTGTACAAATATGTTCAGAAAATATATTTGACACATACAGTTCGAATTAAAATTCGTTCATTTATATTAAATATCTATAAAATTAAAAATAAAGAATAACAATGAAATGATATTTCAATGAAAATGTAAATCAAATGGAACAAATACAATGTTTTTCATGACTAAAAATATTAAATCTACGATAGTTGTTGATTATTTTATATTAAAAATATTTTCTACTTTATGATAAACTTCAAAAGTTCTTTTTTTTCAAAGTTTTCTTTATTAATTAACCATTAATTCTTTTTTTTTTCATTTCATCATTCATTTGACATGAATGAAAATAAAAAATGAAGATTTCATTCTTTATAATAGAAGTTTTTTTTTTTGTGTATGATAATTTAACTCATTGACCTTCTTTTTTGCATATGTAACGATTTATTATAAATCATGGAATTAATTTCAGTTGACACATATGATTATCGATATTAAATGTTCAGCCTATATAATAATATTTTTACCAAGGGAATTTGAGCAGTAGATTTTCATTAGGAAAAAAGAAAATTAAATGCAACAATTTGAACAAAGAATACTTTGGTATATTGATGAGAAATGACAGCAGATAATAATGATGCTATTTTCAATTAGTTTATCATAAAATAAGAATATCGTTCATTATTTATGATATTAATGTGAAAATTATTCATCATATATTCGTTTTTAGCACCCTATGAATATTATTCAATTGTAAACATAAAGTTTATTAAAAACAATAGAACAAAAATTATTATTAATGTAAATATTATTGTCAATAGTGTCCTTATGAAAATATTGATTATTTATTGAAACTGATTAATATTGACATCTGTTCTTTTTTTCTTACATTTTGCAGTTTTGCTAATATTCTAAGTATAGATTTGTTTCATTTTCCTTTTCTTCTTTATGGTTTGTCTTCGTTTCTTTTTGCTGTATATGATAGATAATGACACGAATTAATGGTCAAAGCTCAAAGCTGTTGAGGGTTTTTATTATTGGGATTATATATATGAATAAAAAAAAATATTTTTCTTTTCTTATTCTATTTTCCATTTCAGAATTACTAGACAAATGAATTAGCTACTGTCATTTCTTTTGCTTTTAGTTTATTTTCTTTTTCCGTTTTATCTTCTAGATGCTTTTTTCATTGAGAAAAAAAGAAGATAAAAAAAATAATCTAAAATAATATATATTAAATATGAGATGTTTTCAGGCAACATTTATAATTTACGTATTATTTGCATGTTGCTTTTTTCTGCACGAGTTAAAAAAAAAGAGAATATCTATAGAATCTATAATTAATTGATATCGCTGTCAGAATAACAGTCTCAGAAGAGAAAAAGAAAAGTGGCGGTATTGAAAAACTACGACAAAGAAGGGGGATAGTTGTGTAGATACTGCTTATACTAATATACAACTACTATCTGAGTAAAAAAAGCAAACAAAATAAGAACGGAATGAAAAAAGACGAACACGCATCAACTGTTGACGTAGCACTAATATTGAAAGTAACATCTGCTGTCCTCAATCTATCTATATCATCGTAGAAAAGATATGGACATATTTTCTGCGCATTTCCTCTCTATTCTTTCTTATCTTGAAACAACACAAAATCAGTTTGATACAAAAGATATGTTCGTATATGTTGTTCGTTATCGCTTCAGAATTTAGTTTCCGGTACGACCATCAGTTACTTATTCACCTGTATTGTCGTTCACACTTATCAAATAGTTTTAGTGACATTGTTGGAATGATTGAAGAGAAAAAAAATATATTATTAGTCTCTCAGCAATCAAGTACCGAGAAAAGTTAGAGACGATTAATAACAGAGAAAAAAAATAGAAATAACACTCGCTGATAGAAAAAAAAAGAAAGGAAACTGCGAAAGCAACATAAAATATTTATTCAGTCACATAATATATACTTTTTTAATGATGTGATCCTTTTTGTTAGTCGATCATGAAGAGAAACAATTGAAAGAAGATTATATTTTATTTCTAGATTGTTATTATTTTTATTATTATTATTATTATCATTACATTTTTCTTTTACTTTGTCTCTCATGGCTCGTTATGAAAGATTTGATGATGATACACCAGCACCAAAATTTACTATTGTAACACGATCAAATAATGAAAAAATTGATTTATTTGTTACACCAGATAAATCATTATCAATTGAAGATGAAACAACAACACGTCATGCACTTATAACATTAAATATTATATCAATATTTGTTAGTACAGTTTGTGGTTTAATAACATTTTTCTTAGCTGTTGAAGAACAATCAGTATCAGCACTTGGTTTTGCTATTGATACTATTCTTGATGTATTAGCATTTTTAACTGTTATATGGCGTTTTACAAGTTCACATGATCAAGCAAAACGAGAAAATTACGTATTAAAAATATTGGCAATACTTTTTTTTATATCCGGTTTTGGTGTATTTATTGATTCAGTACTTGATATACGTAATCAAATTCATCCTATACCAAATCATTATTTAGCTGTTGCTGTTACAATTCAAACATTTATATTTTTTTGTTTAGCATTTGGTAAATATACAGTAGCAAAAAAACTTAATGTTATATCAGCATATTCAGATGCATTCAATACATTTATATCTGGTTTAATGGCATTGTCAGTTGTCGTTAGTATAAAAATTTATAATTCAAATAAAAATATTTGGTATATTGATCCAATAATGGGAATGTTTATTTCAATTACAATTATGATATATGGAATTTGGATGATGTTTAAATCATTTAAAAATATTTAATGTCAGATTTTATTTCTTACATTTAGTCAAATATATGTATATATGTATGTATTAAAACAGAAAAAAAGAACAAAAGATTATTTAACGTCCCGGTTGCCATGGAATATAAGTTGATTCTGTTTGATTGGCATTAGATCCTGGATTTCGTTTTTCATAATCATAATGTAACATAACAACAGTAACAATAATACCAGTCATAAGTAATGTTGTTATTATATTCAGTACAAACGTACGTTTTGACCATTTTTTTGCTACTGCATAACGATTTTGTATTTTATATTTATTAACATTGTATGAGAAATAACAACAAGCTATCCCAAATGGTATTAATAATAAATTAAATATTGACCATATAATAAAAGTTGGGATTTTCTTTACAGATTTTGTTAATGGAGTAATTGATGTAGATCCTTGTAAATTTGGTGCCACATTTGAATCTTCATTGCCAAGAGATAGTGTTGGACGAGTATTGGATGTTTGAACTCGTTCATTTGTAGTAGAAGGCACTGTTTCTGTCATTTATAACGGCAGGTCGATTGGTGTATAATTATCTTCACACTAAACGATGTGTTCCTATGAATAAGATATTCGAAAATAGCAAACATATTGATAGCTTTTATTTTTATGTGATTTTCCGCTTGAATAATTTTCTTTTCTTTTCTATTCACGTGTGCATAGAAAGAATGATTATCAAACGAAACATTGTCTGGTATTTAATATTTAAAAAGAGAAAACAAAAAGAAAAAACAAAGCTATAATAGTGATTTTTACTGTTTGATAGTCGATCGATTATATAAGACTAAAGTATATTTAGATTCTTGTACTATGAAAATAATATAAAACAAATTTAATCAAATGAACAATAATATAAAAGAAGAAAAATAAATCATTGTTGCTGTCAATATTGAAATGTTTGTTTTGTTATCTTTTTTTTATTCATATATGTTTAGTTATCGAAATGCAACAATCATTCTTATATTTAAATTATATCACTCGAGTAAAATTTTTTTGCAGATTTAAAAAACATATAACTATGTACACAGATGGATTAGACAATAAAAAGTTATATATATAGTGTTTGTTTGTTTCTTTGTTTGATTATTTTTTGCCCGATGGTGGTCGCGGATTACGTTGGATGGCTGGTGGAAGCGATTCACTAGATGATACAGACATTATTGAATCTTTATAATAATCTGTTTCTTGAAGATACTGCTCAATATATGTCATCATTTGTTCATAGGTAACACATCCGTTACCATCTGGAATAGTCAGATCAACTTAAAAAAAAAAGAATTTTTCACGTTATAAGAATTTATTGAATAGAAATTTTTTACCAGCTTTGAGATTCAATGGACTAGGTGATGATGAACGAGATGAATTTGTTAATGACTGTATACCGATACTGTGTCTACCAACACCACTATCAAATTCAATACCATCACTTAAATGATTTGATAATTTGGATAATTCACTTTTTAAATTTTGTGATGAACCTTTTGAAAATAGAAAAATTCTATAACGATCTATTAGACGACGATATTTATTATTATTTGTATTTGATGGTACCTAAATGAATAAGATATAATATTTATTTGAAAAAATGTGAGATTTTCTATGTTTCTAATTAACTTACAAAAGATATATAAACTAATTTATGAACTATATCAAGTAATTGACTGACAGGATCAGTTGGTCGAAGACGTTTTTGAGATATACTTATTGATCCAGTTACTGATGGTTGACGAGAACGATTAAATGGACTTTGTCTAAAATGAAAGAAAAAATTAAATACTTTGAGTATGGATCAAGAGAATATTTCTTTGACTCAATGAAATTCTTTTAGTGTACACCCATGTTCAAGAAACCAACAAAAAATTGATTTTATTACATCGGCGTTTTCTATAGACTCGTCAAACAGTAAGAGTAATAGAAGAAACGATGATTATTTTCTAGCAAAAAAAGCTGTTAGTTCAATCTCTGTGCAATTAAAATGTGCAACAAGATATAGTTGTTGTTGCTAATCATAGAGAGATTGTTTTATTGTATCTATTTTAGGACACAGTTTTTCATTATTCTTTTACTGAATATTTCAGAAATGCCATAAAGAAATAGTTCATATAAAATGGAGACAGATAAGCTTACGTACGAAGTACTTATTTATTTATTTTTCTTAATAGTAATAGCTCGAACAAAGACGAGAAAACATTTGAGTAGCTGATACAAATGACCGTCATGATTGGTTTTTGTCAAATTTCTATGAACGGTTCTAGCGAAAGATCTCTGGAAAACTGAGCTCTTCAAAACTAGTTTACTGAAGTGTATTAAAAATACTTTGCAAATAAACTCATACTGTAGAGAAAACATTTCTAAACAAAATTAGATATTTCTCTTGAGCTCGCCACAATCTCTCTTCAGGAAATCGTACTCATTCTACGAAAGTTCTTGAAGTATAAAATCACAGTAAATTTATATAAGTTTTTATAAAAACAACAGAAAACTGTCTTGTAGGTCTATCACACAATAATTGTCGTTCGCTGAAGATAGGTCGTGGAGGGCGGGGGAAGGGGAAGAGCTAGCGCAGCGAAGACTCTCCTATCCCCCTCCGGGCTAGGCTCCCTGTCTCATCACCAAATCTTCTTTTAAATCATGTTTTAACAAAAACAGGATTATGGATTATGGCAAAATATTATGAAAATTAATAAAGTAATACACCATTCGCCATGTTAGGAATGGTTGTTCTGAGTATTGAGAACTGATCGAAATATTAAATGTCTATTTTTCATATCGATAGCTCTAGCTACTGTGAGAAAAGTCAAAAGCATCACTTTAAAACGCTATACAAAATCAATACTTTCAACTTATTACTATAATACGAGAAGAGAAAAACAATCTGTCTTTTCTTTGTCTGAACCGTTAGAATATAACATCGAAAAAAATTAGTTACCTGACGTGCTAATCGAAGTTGAGAGTTTTAGTAGCTACATGTTCGACTAGATCTCGAATTTATTTTTTCGAGATTTTTCAGTACTAATTAGAATAGTATGTCAAAAGTTAGATAGCTGAAGTAACAATCAAATTGATTAAGATTTTTAACGACTGATCTTAATGTGTCATCTTGAATTTGAGTTAATTCAATAAATGTCACTTAGGCTTTTGTGAAGATCCTTATGTTTTTCAACTTCAAATAATTATACTTATTAATTTTTCTATACGTACTTTCGTTCCATATTCGATGAACATGAAGAAGGAGGCATTGGTTGTTGTATCGTATTAGTACTATCATAACCACTTTCAAATGATATATTTGATGGTTCAGGTGATCGAGCTTGATAAAACATAGTTAAAGAAAAATAATCTTATCAAAATGACAATAACGTGTATATATTTATACCTTCATTTGAATTTAATGATTGTTCCGAAGAAACTCGACCTATTGAACGTCTTATATTATTTTGTCTTATGGGACCACTTGGTGGTTGTGGAATCGCACTATTTGTCAATTCTTTCAGTGGCAAATCAGATGTTTCACATTCAGAAACTAAAGAAAATAAAATATGAAACTGTTTCTTGTTGTTTTTTTTTATTATTTATGTATTTACCAGCAGTAAATGCATCTGGTTTAATTATATCATGTTGTCCATCTGTTGTTCCATCAAAACAAACGTCAGCAATACCACCACTATTACCACCCAATGATTCTTTTGTACTTGAACAACTAAGACATGATTGTTGATACATAGATTGTTGTTGTAATTGTGATTGTTGTCTTATTAAATCAAATTCACGTTGATAATCTTGTTGTCTTAAACGTTTTTCTAATGTTTGTATTGTTGTACATGAACGATCTGTATATAACATTAATTGTTCAGTACATAATTGAGCTACACAACATATATCTGGACGACGTTGTGGATCAATACATAAACATTCAATTATTATTTGTCGTATACGATCAGAATAATATTTTAATGGTACTTGATCATATTCACTGGCACAAATTTTACTTGCAAGTAAAAGAATATTTGATGTATAGAATGGCGGAACTAATGTTAACATATGATAAAGTACACAACCTAAACTCCATATATCTAAAAGACAAGTTTAAATGAAAATAAATTTAAAAAAAATCATAGAACAAACCAGCTTTTTCATTATATGGCATATGTTGAATAATTTCGGGACAGGCATAATATAGTGTTCCAACAACTGAATTCATTTTACTACAATCATTATCACGTAATTTAGCTAAACCAAAATCAGCTAGAAAAGAAGAAACAAGAAATTTTTAAAAATTTGAAAAATCATATCAATATATTCTATTTATTTTCATAGACAAACTTTAAACTGACAAGAAATCATACTAGTAGACATATCATGTGGAAAGATTTTAGTACGGTGAAGCAAAATAATTTCTTTCTTGTTAGCATTGAAACTGAAATGGAATTAATTGTCTTTGTTTATGTCTATTGCAATATCTTACGAGGATAATAGTCGTATAAAAACGGATGCAAAGGACAAGGAATTGGTATCATTCTTTATGAATGCCTTAAAGAAGACTTAGATCTCGTAGGTTCTGTTAAACACAAACTGTACAGATACTGAAAATAACTTCAAAATTTCTTGTCGAAATTGGTGTTCTTTAATCTTCGTCTGATTATCTTGATTGTGTACGTAGTATAGAGAACAATGTTGGTATATAACACTTGTGTTTTAAAAAATGTTTTGATAGCAACACAAAATACGTTCTTTTGTTGATTCTAAGCTCCTAGAAACACTTTACTAATACTGAAGTTTATCGGATCAATGATGCTATCGTTTATTGACTAGAATTCATAAACAGAAAATTTCGAGTGATCCTCTGAAATTATATATTATTCAAAAAGAGGGTATTTTTTTGAAGCATAGAAACATTGATTTCAATAATGGACGTTGTTGACTAAATCTAAAAGTACATCAAAAGCGTATCTCCTGCCAAAGTTAGCATCTTAGTGTTTCCCTCTCACCAATCTGAATGAGGCAGTACTACAATGAATCTTCCTTAGAAACATTCCAAACTGTTCAATCACTTTTTGCCTGAGATTAACAGCATTCCATCAGTCATGATGAGTAGTGAAAAAAGAGTCTGTTTTGATTTCTGAATAATTGAAACTCGAACTGAAACTTTGTTCATAGATAAGCTTTCTGATCAATAGAAACATTCTCAAGTTTAAACTAGGACAAACATATCCGTATTGAGATATCATCTTGTTACAGCAATGTCTTTCTTTTGAAATACAGTTAAAAATAGGTGTTTCTTTACAATGTAAATATCTTAGCAAGCATATGTCGTTTCTTGACTCAAGTTTTGAAGTGTCTCTAGTGACTAGAAGGTAGATCTGGAAAAGTTCTCTCATCAATTCCAGTAACTAGATGTTTCAATAGACTTCAGTATTTATGACGTTAGTATCAGCAGTACAAAGTTAAAACTGATACTGTTTATTCCTATAAGCTCTTACTACTGCAAGTCTCAATTCCGAAAA